ATTTGGGATTTGGGATTTGGGATTTCGGCATTTGGGATTTTGGCATTTGGATTTTGAATTTGGGTGGCAGGTATATAGAGGAGTAATAAAAGATGTGACAACTAGATATCGCAAGAGTTGTGCTTTAACTAATAAGTCTTCTGCATCATTAGTTAAAATGTTTATAAAAATTTATGGGGATCCAAATTGCCCTCTTACCTGGCCTAAAGTTTTGATTATAGATAAAGGCACTGAATATTTAGGTGAATGCAGAGATTTATTACTTAGTCATGGTGTAAAAATTCAGTATGCCGAAACTAAGGAAGGTATTACTATTGTTGAACGCGATCATCAAGAATTTGAAAAATATACTTTTTATAGACAAGATGTAGTAGATTTTCATTTACCATTAACTGAGAGATGTAGAGCTTGGGTCAAAGGCCTTCACTTAAATGATAATACTTTTAATAATTCTGTTACCCGATTAATACATATGTCTCCTAATGAAGCTATAAAAAGAGCATTAAACGGTGAAAAAATATTTGCAGAGCCGGCAGTAAAACATAGAAGACCTGTAGGTTATAATGAACCTCTTTTACCTAGTTATACAGAAGTTCATTATCTTTTAAAACTTGGAGAATTAGAGTAGGGGAAATGCAGGGTGACTGATATAAATTGATCTCCTGAAACTTTTACAATTAGTTCTTATTTGATAAAAAATAACCAACCTGTTCTCTATAAACTTTATAATGGACCAAAACGTTCTTTTGTGAGAGAACAACTCCAAATTGTCGATCCTGATACTGCTTTACTGCCAAAACGTATTCTCAAGCATTAGACTTATCTCCTCTCTCTTCTACTTGATTTATAATTTGTTCAAAAGCATTGCTTAAGTAATTATCTATTTCTGATCGATTGTATACTATAATTTGTTTATTTCGTAACTAATCAGTTCTTATATTCTTTTTCTTATCTTTTTCTTTATTGTCATCTGGTTTGTCGTCTATAAGAAATTTTGTCAGAGAGCATAATGAATACTTAAATTGACCTCGTTTATCAAATTCTTTCTCAAGCAATTCCTGAAATGGTTTTCTTTGACTCTCTAACATTTTTCTGATGTCGCTCCCATTATCTGAATGATATTTTGGAACTTTTGCATTATGTATGGCTACAGCTCGTCTTTTTAGTGTTTTTCCTAAAATTTGCTCTCTAAATATTATGTTTTTTTCGTGATCTCCAGTAATTATACTGAGACATTCAAATTCTTCATTTGTCAGGTCTATTTCTAAAGGAGTTTTTTTAGATTGTTCATTTTTTTCCTTCTGATAAGCTTGAGTTTTTGAACTAGTTTTAGGAGGTTCTATAAATTGACTTTTAACGGGATGTGATACTTGTCTTTCTACTTCAATTTCAGGTTCTCCAAAGAATTCTTGTTTTTCTTTCGTCTGCTTTGTAGGTTCTATATTACTATATGTTTCTTTATCTATTTGTAATAAAGTATCATAAAGAACTTGACAAGCTTTTAAAGTTCGTGGTTGATCATAATCTTCATAACATAATTTCTTATATCTTTTTCGTAATCTTGAGCCCCATTGCTTAACAGTTTTACCCGGCTTTCTGTCATTAGCATTTTGTATTGTTTCAGGTATATCTAAAACTTCTGATTTTCTTAGTATAGGTAAAGTACCTTGGTGCTGAGGTAAAAGTACTGGAGAAATGAGGGGTCTGCATGGATTCTGTCTATTAAGATGCTCACGAAGTTTTTGTGGTGTTGCGCATGTATGTTCACAACGCTCACAAGTTCTATTTTTCTTGTCTTTTCTAACCATAGGTAAAATATAATGATTGTAGTATACTAAGTCTAACTTTTACGTTATATTTTACTTATACAAAATCTTTTTTTTAAATAAATAATTCATATCATATATTCAAAAATGATTGGTGAATATTCATGCCCCTATCTTCATAATTCTGGAAAGACTTGTGGTAAAGCTTGCATTCAGCCTGAAGGATGCCAGTTTCATTAGAAAGCTAAAAAATGTATCCCTTGTAGTGAATGTGGTAAGCCAACTGGTTCGTCTTCTGGTCGTTGCCCTTTACATATTAGAGGATTTTATGTTACTTAATATTATAATAGACTTCGATCAAATATACGAGAAAGAACTTATGGGGAAATAATAGTTGTCCATAGAGAAAGAACTTATGAGGAAATAATGGATACCCATAGAGAAAGAACTTATGAGGAAATAATGGATACCCATAGAGATGCGCTTACAAACCTTAATATTACTCTTTGCAGGGAATGCTTTCATCTGATAAATGTAGAAGAGGAGGAATATTGTAATAATTGTCAGCCTGAATAAATATTTTATATGTCAGGAACTTGTTCTAAAGCGTTAAATACCAAGGACAATTTTTGATATCAAATGGTTAGATTTATTTTTTTAGTAAATTTTGTATATCAGGAAATTGATCTAGAGCGTTAAATACCAAGGACAATTTTGATATCAAGAGGTTAGACTTTGGTTAGATTTATTTAACTTGTATATGAAAAATACGTTTTATAAAGATTTAATATGTGTCTAGTACTATAATTTTTTCTGTCTTAATTCCCCTATTGATATACTAAATTCTTTGGTTAGACTTTGGTTAGATTTAATGAAATGATATGTATTTTAGCTTGCTAGCATGTCAGAGAAGGGATCAGGATATTCATTACATTCATATCCTTCACCGCTTTTCTTTGTTTTTTAACAGCAACCAGAGTAGCATAAAATAAATCTAACCAAATTATGTTGAAAATGTGATCTAAAACATAAAATGCACGTCATTCGAGTGAGGTCTAAAACAAAAATCCCATGTCATAGTTAGACTTATAAATCTAACCCAAAATCGATCATAGATTTGAGCTTCTAGCAGGCGCAACACACTATTGTCAATATTGAGGCTTTTGTTCCAAAACTTCCAAATTTCCAATGTGTACTAGTCTCTCTAATTGACAGAGTTCAATCAATTGTTAAGGAGTCAAATATAGCTAAATAAATCATTGACAAATTCATCACAGTTTTTAGAACTTTTATATACAAAAACATCTAGATGTAACACAGTTAGAAACTGGAAAAAATTAGTGGGTATTAAAAATAATAAACAAAAGAAAAAGTACTGGTCACTCCAGTCATGGGTATACAAGTTTCTAATATAGATAATAATAATAATAATACTAATTTGAGATCATCAAATGGAGATAATAGACTTCGGCTTGTTAATATTATTAGTAGACATATATATAGTGTTATTAAATATGATATAAAGTGAATTAGTTTATATAATATAGGTTATTTGGCAAGGCCTTAATATGCTGAGGGCAATTTTTATTGTCAGGCAGTAGGTTGTAGGCATGTCTTTGTTTATCTTCAAATAGGCATATAAAGTTAGTCTAAGTCTCATCTTTTAATAGTTATTAGAATAAGTTGTGTATTTTGTATTATGTAATAATAATGTAAAAGATTTTTTCTTTTTCTAATTAATAAATTTGAGGCAAGGCCTTGCTGGAACAAAAAAAAATATATTTTGAATCCAAAAGTTGAAACAGTTTTTTATAAAAGATAATTTAATTTTATTTAAAATTCAAAAATTTTTGACCATCTAGATAAATTTTTTGATTAAAAATACATTAAACTGGATATTTTTTTATTTTCATATATAGAATAGATATCTCAAAAATCTTAAAAAGATGAAATATCTCAAAAATCCAAATCAATTTTGGGAACATGTATATTATAAATTTAATCAAAAACTCAAAAAAAATCAAATATTAATAATTGACAAGATTTCAATGGTTTCAACAAATTTATTTACTTATGTCTTTCAATTTTTTCTAAGTTACATTATAATTCTAAACCATTTAGTAATATCAACATTTTATTATTTTATTTCATATTCTTATGAGAATCACAAATACAAAATATAAATTCAACTTATTACAAATTATTTGAAAAAGTTTGATTTGATAAAAATTGATCAATTTACATGGAATACATTACAAACAAAATTGGATCTCAAAAATTAGAAAACCTTGAAAACCTATTAAACACCACATACAAATAAATGGCAAATCAATCAAACAATATTCCAATCCAAGATAACAAATGCATCATATCAAATTCAATAGACATTGTAAATGGAAAAATCAAAATGATGAAGAAATTGCAAATAAAAAACTAATTTATCACAAAAATTACAATTACAGATTGGTGCTTGGGTTATGTTTTAAATAACTCTGAATATAAATATGGATTAATTGGAATAATTATAAATTTTGATCCTTACTTGCAGAAAGTAAGATATGCATTTTTATTAAAGGTGAAATAACTGATAAGACAGCATGCTTCATGATACAAATGCAAGTCGAAAACAATATCCTATTATTAATGCCTATGCACTTACAACTCACAAGGTACAGGGAATAACTATTCATTAAATTTAGATGCACAAATTTTTGAACATACACTGCTCTGTGTAGATGTTGTGAATGGAAAAAATATTTAAATCCGCTCTCTGAGCAGAGATGCATTTATTGTAGATGAATATATGGTTAAAGAATACGGAAGGCTAGAATCCATAGCCACCGAACCATTACCATTATCAGATCCACTACAAAATAATTAATTATCCAAATTAAAAATCTAGTAATTTTGTTGATCAGTACTAATATGGTATTTAATTATTTATATATCTAATCATTTGATAATCTAAAGTAAATTATTTTTAGAATGTTTGATTTAAGATTGAAGATTTAGAATACAGTCAACTCTCTATAAACACGCCCCCCTCGGGACCCGCACAAGGGAGCATTTATAGAGAGGGTGCATTTAGATAGGATTTAATAGGTGTTATTACGTATGGGGCTTAGAGCATAGGGTGCATTTAGAGAGGGAATGCACTAATAGAGGGTGCGTTTATAGAGGGTTGACTATACTTTGTATCTGTTCACGAAGCACTTAAAACTATTTTTGTGGAAACTCCTAACAAAGAATTGAAAAATAAGAAAACAACTCAATAATGTGAAAATTCTCGATAATTACTCCAAATCAAAATTGGATTCATTGGTATCTGTAATGGAAGCATTTGCAACAAATGGCCTTCAAAACAAGAGAATTCACGCTGTATTTTTCGTAGAAATATTCGGTAATCATATTATTATTTTTTTTTTTGCTCAACTTATGGGAAAACAATAATGTGATTTTGGAGAGGATGATACATTTTTTTCATGTTTGAAAAACATCATCTTAATAATTTTGATTTTTACATATTTGCATATAATTTTTTTTTGATATTACAATGTAATTTGTTTAAAATAATGGTTATAACTGATAATATTTAATTTGAATATTGCAAATTTGAAATTTTTTTAATTAGATTATTCAAACAAATTAAGAATAAAAATCTGAATACATATTTTTTTTTTCTATAAAAAATACCAACCCATTTTTATTTCATAACAGTAATATTTTATAGAATTATTTTTTCTTTTTTTAAAATTTATCATTAATTTTTTTTTTTTAATCATTTTTCTTCATTGTATCTCATAATATAGAGAAATGGAAAAAATGGCAAAGAAGAAATGGTGATTCATGAAAAGAATCCAAGTTTCCACAACACCATTTAATATCCTTAATATCCTTAATATTATTGATATCTTTATCTTTAATATCTTTAATATCTTTTAATCCGGAAAATATCATAAAAATCACATATTTGGTTAAAATAAGTCAAAATGTAATTTTTATCGACAATAAGATACTCACCAATGATATGGATGATTGGTGAGCGTAAAATCATCAATCCCTTGCCCTGGATATGAATACATAGCAAAACTTTCGAAAGCATGTTGCATAATACTATCTATAGGATTATGTTCAACCACTTGTGGATATGGAGTGAATTCGCAATCTGGGCACAACCATTGACCTGATGGTTGTTGTGAAAGTCCAACACATTCCCAGTGATACCATCCAGTCTCACACTAAATAAATATCAAATATGAATTGACAATATTAAAATGTAATATTCACATGTGAATTGAATTTATGATGATAAAGGCAAAGAAGACAAAGAGAATGAAACAACGCGTGAGAAATGGATTATACAGTACCTTTGGATGATCACATTGAACCATATGGCCAAATTCTGGCTATAAAAATATTTGATGGAAATAATAAAATAAAAATAAATTAAGTTATTATCCGGTCTTCAATTAATGAATTTAATTAATTTAATCAATTTAACCAATTTTAAACCAAGAAAAAGACGTACTCTCTTGCAAATACAATACAAAGGTTCGTGCGGTTCAAATTCATTTTCTGTTACTTCTTCACTATTACCATTATTATATTATTATATTATTGCATTTTAATATATAGTAAATAATCAAAGTTGTCCATTATCTCATTATCTTAAATTATTATTTTATTACGGAAATCAATGATGCTTACCCTATGATTTAATTGTCACATGATTTAATAATACAGAATTTACCTAATTAGTTGGCGCCATATTCGGGAAAAATCGGGAAACATAGCATTTAATACATACCATCTAAATGTATATTATTACGAGCCAATTCTTCATCTAATCTATCGTAGTGTCGAGTGAGCTAACAAAATATTTATTTAAATTATATATTAATTATGTTAATTGCAAAATTGATCATTTTTTTTCAAATAATTAACATATTTTAATATTTATTAATATTATTAATATTATTGATGCTCACCAAATTATACAATTTATCCGTGATAGCAATTTTTTCATCATGTTTTTGCAGCGATTCTTCAAAATATTTCTATATATTATATATATACACATTTAACACCACAAAAACATATATTGAGTCACCCACTTCCAATGAACAGCATAACACTCAACCCGCACTACACGACTGTCACGTGTAGAAATCGGAAATATTTGTAAATATGCGGATGCATAGGTTCTCTTCAAAAATTCTTTCTTTATTATTTCAATTTGACTCTACCTCTGCCATATTTCTCCAATAACTCGAATCTTTATCACCATCATCTTTTTGTTCGGAATCCATACATGCAAAACTTTTATCTTGACATTCTTTACAAATTTTTCGTAACCCTAAATTGAAAGAAAGATAGGAGAAAATATTTAAAATATTAGAATTCAAATAAATGAATAATAAAATAAAATAAATAAATAACAAATAATAAATAAATAAATATTAATAATAATAAATAATTTATAATAAAGTTATAGGTAATATCATACTTTCACATTGTTCGTCTAAATGGCGCAACTCTTCCAGAGCCGCGACAACTTCTGAATTTAGGTTGTAAATTGCTACAATAAAAGTAATATATGTGAAAATAAAAGTGTTTTTTTTTTTAAATATTAAAATTTAATTTATCGAAATTAATTATTAACGCAAAAAAAAAGGGGAAGGAATTATTAACGAAAAAAAAAAAAATCGATCGCCAACTAAACTTTCGAGAGGTAAAAAAGATAAACATACAATCGAGATAATCATCAAGAACTTCAGATGCTGTTTTTAATTCGCTGAAATCAACATTATGACCATATTCAATATCATTAGGTTGTTCTGATTCCATTTTTTTAAAATTTAAAATTTTTTTTTTTTTATAAAAAAGACCGAAGAGTAACACGCAAAAAATAAAAAAAAATCTGAAGTTGCAATAAAAATCTCTGAAATCTATGTTGATATAACCATGTCACCTAAAAGTTACCTTAACAGGAGGATCGTGCGAACTTTTTTTTTTTTGTCCTACAAAACATGCAGGTCAATTGACGGTCCAATCATATTTAATTTAAACTCATTTTCGCTGCAGTTATACATTGACAAATGAGAATAACTGTAGGAACGTTTTGTAATTATTGATGTCTAAAAGCCATCAAAAATTCGAATCAATACTTTATTTCGTTAAATCTATCGAAAATATTTTAAATTGAAATAAAAATGATTATCCAAAACTTATGCAGGGGTACAATTTAACTACACGAACGTATCTATATGTGGGGAATGACTAATATAAATTGTACAACATAATACGAAATATAAAAATAAATTATTGACAAATTTGATTTATAGCTCGTCGTGTCCGTCATCTGTACTTGTTGTTGCAGACGCAGCGGGTGATGATGATGATGATGATGATGATGATGGTGATGATGATGGTGATGGTGATGATGATGATTCAGAAGAAGAAGAAGAGGAAGAGGAGGGAGAAGGAGATGATGATGATGATTCAGAAGTATCGGGTTCACTTCTTTCAACTTCAACTTTGACTTCAACCTTATTCACCGCGTTCTGTTTCAAAAATTCTACGAAACTCTCTAATGAACGGTCATCCGCGTAATCAACAATTTCCTTTTCTCCCGCTTTGAATAACTTGATCGTGGGGAATCCTCCAATTTTGAAAGGAACTATGGGTGGAAGGTCATTTTCAGAACAATCCATTTTTGCAATTAATATTTTATCCTTATATTCGCTATAGAGTGCTCCTAATTCATGATAAATGGGACCGAGCTTCTTGCAATGTCCACACCCTAATAAATTATTTGAGTAAATTATTTGAGTAAATTATTTGAGTAAATTATCAATTAAATTATTCAAGTTTCATATAAATTATATAAATCGTATAGATTAGATGCTCAAATAATAAAATGAAAAAAAAAAACTTACATGGAGCATAGAATTCAACGAGTACATCCTTAGACTTGTCATAAACAACTTCCTCAAAGTTATAAGATACCAAAGTATATACAGGTCCATCATTTTTCTCTGGGATGGGTTGAGATTTTATAGCAGGTGAAATTTTGCCATCTACGAATAATGTTACGAATTCCCCAAGAGATTCGGGAGTAATTTCTTTACTTTGATCGAATGGATATTTTTCAAACTCATCGTTTTCCACAAGTTTTTGAATACCAAAAGCTGGCCATTGTTGTTTTAGATTAATATTTTCTGCGTGAGCGCCATACTTAGTGGCATCAATATAACCAAAAGTCATTCGACCTTTGCATTTTTGTAAAATTGGTTCAACAGAAGATTTAAGAAGCTTATATTGTTCCTCATTTTCATAAAATAAGAATCCAATAGGTAAACCAGAATCGACATAAGATGAATAATTTTCTGGCCCAATTTCACCCAATACTGGTACAGAATATGCTTTAATAAAATTAACAAGTTTTTCTTTTTCGTACGTATCATTAAATAATTCCATGCTTTTTTCGAGTTTATTATAAAGAACTACTGCAGGAGCAGTTATTCCAGCTTTATCGGCTGCTTCTTTTTGTCCAGTTTGTCCGAAAAGATAACTGTTTCGTAATATTTCAGCAACTTCAACAAAAACATCATGCTCTTTTTGACTATCAATATTCCAGAAACCAATAACAACAACATTTTCAGAATCTTTAAAGGTATCAAAAGTATCTACGGTAATATCAGATACAGCCGGTAATGCTTGTCTGGATTTTTGTTTTTTAATAAAAAAAATGAAATAATAATAAATATAATAAATGAATATAAATTTATAAATTATTATTCTTCTTTAAATTTATTCCTCTTTAAATTTATTCTTCTTTAAATTTATACTTACTTCCTCATGTAACTAACGATTAGATCAGCTTGTCTTCCTCCACCATAATCGGTAATTTTATCTCCCTTAAAAACTTTCAAAGTTGGATAACCTTTAATATCATATTCACGACATTTTTCGGTTTCAGAGGTACAGTCAACTTTTGCAAGTTTTATGTTGTCGGGTTTTAGAATAGTGGCTGCTTTCTCATATTCGGGTGCTTTTTTGAATAAATATTATTTTCAGATGAAAAAAGTTAAAATAGAAAAAAAAAAAAAAAAAAAAACGAAATATCGAATTTGAGGGAAAATAAGTAAAAAAAATTAAATTTAAATTTAAATTTATATACCAAGAGATTGACAGTGACCACACCATGGTGCATAAAATTCGATTAGATACAAAATTTCAGGGTCAACAAGCTCTGTAAAATTAAGAGTCCCTAAAATAATTACATCAGACGTATCAGACGACTCTTCGGCGAAGGATACAAGAGAAAAAACCAAAAAGATTACAGTCACTAAATAAACAAATAATTTTTTATCCATTATAAGTTTTGGGAAAATTGAGAAATGGGAAAAAAGCTCCATTTTTATATATCAATTTTTTCGTGTTTGGATTTTGCTGTCAATTTTTGATTGGACGAAATTATTTATTTACAAATAAATGAATTATTAAACATAAAGTGCATAAACAGGTTTAACAGGTTTTTACAGGGATTGTAATTAAAGATGCAGGTGGATCTAATTAATTTCACCTGGTGTAACTGGCGAAACTGGTGCACAAACAGGTGCACCAATGGTGCATCTCAAAGGCCAATTTATTCACCTGGTGAAATATATGATATTGGTGAAACTGTGACAGATGATATTGGTGGAATGTGATGAAATTGGTGGGTGAGACTGGAGAAAAGAAACAGTTTCACCAATAGTTTAAGAAATATATATCAGTAAATTTTAATAGGCAATGATCAATGGAGGATTTTTTTACATTTTTTTGACTTTGCTTGCGATTTTTGAAGTGTAGGTCGATTTTATACTAAGGATTTCTAAGATAGAAAGAAAGGTCGTGTTCTTGGCTACAAAATGATATGTATTTTATTGATATGCGTGGAGATATTCGCATCTAAGTCGAACGTCCGTGAAATTTTTCTGCCATAAATTTTCCGTAATTCTGGCCAAAATTATGAAAAATTCCGGAAAATTTTTGACAGAAATTTTTCACAGATGTTCAACTTTAAACGCGAATATCTCCGCGAATATAAATGTTACTGGAATGAAACACATATCATTTTTTATCTAAGAACAAGGCCTTTCTTTTTATTTTAGAAATACTTTAGTAGAAATTCTCTCTATGCTTCAAAAATCATAAGCAAAGTCAAAAAAAGTAAAAAAAAAAATGCAAAAATCCTCTATTAATCATCAACTATTAAATTTACTGGTGTATATTTTCTAAACTATTTGTGAAACTGCTTCTCCAGTTTCACTTACCAATTTCACCACATTTCACCAAATATCACCAGTTCCACTATTATCACCAGTTTCACCAAATCATCAGTTTTCTCAATGATGATTGGAGATTGATAATTGGTGAGATTTGATGCAACTCAAGGATTTAGTTCTCTAATTGTAATATCAATAAAACTTTAATTTAAAAAAAAAGAAACATGTAATTAACAGTAGCATTACCTATTTTTTCAACTAGTTTTATTAATTAATTATAAAATGGAATACATTCAAAAATAGAAATTATCCTAATAAAGAAGTAGTCAATCAAGACAATATTAACTACTACTTAAAGGATGTGTTTATGTTTTTTGATGTTTTAAAAATAAACTATTATTATAATAAGATTGTAATTATTACTCTTGCTTGATTTATCTCTTTATCTATTGATTATATACAAATATATATAGGAGTAAATGTACCTGCTTCAATGTTAATTTTATTATTATTGACAAAAATTAAGAAATACATTAATAATTATCAGAAAGCTAATATGCCAAATCACAATGTATTTTGAGTACTTTTCCATTCTTCTTATTATTTCAATTAAAAAGGTAAACATTGATAAGTGCATATCTCAGTAAATTGTTTGTGACAAAATCAAAAATAAAACAATCAAATAATTTAATTTTATTATAAATTCCCATGTTGTTGATATTTTATTTAACTTTGAAATTGTCATTGGTTTTAAAGTTTGTAATAAGCTACGTTCCTTAATTAAGTTTAGATTAATAAAATTATTATATCCTTTTCTTTTTTAGAATTTACATGTAATATAAATAACTACTGTTGGTACAAAATTTATATTTATCTTTTTATTTTTATAAAATTTATAAAATTTTAAAAATATATAAAATTTGAATATATATAATTAAAGTTTCATTCTATATGAAAATAATACTGCAATAAAATTTCTTTGAACTATTATATATTATAAACATTGTCAACAAGAATAAACTATTGGTTTTGAAGAAAAGAATAAACAATATAATATTTAATAAACAAATAAATAAAAAGAATTTTATTCTTCTAGGCGTAGATTTACGGAAATATCACATGACCTCCGGAAATTTACGCCTGAAAAATTTAATTTTTTAACTTTGGCCG